ATTGACTGGCACAATTAGAACATTAGTAAGCCATAAAGGCTAAATTGATGGCCGCTGTGCTCATGATTTAGTCCTAACTTTGATTTAGTTCTAACTTCCCCCGCCTGACTGGTGCCACTACCACACGAGACTGGTTGGTGAGAGTTTGGGAGTCAAGTATGTCAGTCTGTGATCAGCTTTTGACAATGGTGCATTGTGTTTCTGTTTGAAGTGGAATTTGTCAATAGTTGCACAGCTCGACAGTATTTTTTAATTCTGTCTGCTTAACAGCCCATCCTGTTGAAGAAAAGCCACAAGAACGCCGAAGGAAGAAAACAGATTGTTTAATGAGGATTGGGAATTGCAATTTTTTTTTTTTTTTTTTTTGAGGAGACAGAGTCTCGCTGTGTTGCCCAGGCTAGAGTGCCATGGCGTCAGCCTAACTCACAGCAACCTCAAACTGCTGGGCTCCAGGGATCCTCCTGCCTCAGCCTCCCGAGTAGCTGGGACTACAGGTGTGCACCTCCATGCCTGGCTAATTTTTTTCTATATATTTTTAGTTGTTCGGCTAATTTCTTTCTATTTTTAGCAGAGATGGCGTCTCGCTCTTGCTCAGGCTGGTCTTGAACTCCTGACTTCAAGCCATCCTCCCACCTCCTCGGCCTCCCAGAATGCTAGGATTACAGGCGTGAGCCACCGCGCCCGGCCAGTATTATCTTGTTTTTGCTAAAGATAAGATGATTTGCTTGCTTCTGTGATACTGCAGTATCAACATTTAAAGAAATCCAGTGCTCATCAGCATTATAACACTGATGAAGACCCCAAATACTTTAAATTAGAGGGAGAGGCACAAAAGGTTGTATTTCAGAAATTAAAAGATGAAAAGCAAAAGCAAAAACAATTCTTTCAAGCAGCAATAAGACCTGGAAATAATGCCACTGAAGCACCTTATAAAGTAGCTTATATACTTGGGGGAAAAGGGAAGCCATTCTGTGATGTAGAAATTGTGAAAAAATGCAATGTCAAAATTATAGGATGCTTAGACCCTGATAACATTTCATAGGTGTGTAGTGATATATCATCATAGTTTTAATTTGTTTTTCCCTAATAGCTAATTATGTTGAAAATCTTTTCATGTTCTTTTTTGTCATTGGTATATCCTCTTTGATGACATGTCACTTCATTTCTTTTGCCCATTTTCAAATTACATATATATATATATATATTTACTATTGAGTTTTGAGAGTTGTTTATATATTGTAGATACGAGTCCTATGTCAGACATGTGGTTTGCAAGTATTTCTTGTCTGTGGCTTGACTTTTTCATTCTCTTAAAAAGATATTTCTTACTTGAATTGTTTTTTTAAAATACTCAATGAACAGTAATTTTCTAAGCATCCTTAAACAGCTAATTAGTGGTGTAGAAACTGCAGACTCTAACGTATACTATTTTTCTGCTTAGAGTTCTCTATATATGGAAGTCTAAGACAGCATAGAATAAATGCGATTTATCTGTTTTTCCCAATTTTCCTGCATCATGTTTTCATAAAAAATACTGAAATAGCTCACAATACAGTATTCAAACACCTCTCAGACACATCCCGTCCCTGGCTCATTCTTTTGTCCTTTATTTCTTAAGTATTTGTATTATGGTAATGATATTATCCCCTTTCCCTCCTTTCTGAAGCTAAGGGCCTCTCAAAACTAACAAGAGGGAAATTTTTTATTCTTTATAGAACTCAAGATATTTTTCTTAATAAAGCATGGGAGATATTGTAATAGGAGACTTATCTTCACAGTGCCATGATCTGATTTTTTAAATTGATCCAATTCCCTGTCCAGCAGCACAGCAAGGCAGAACAAAGTAAAGCTACTTACTCCAGATACAGAAGAGGTGGGACATTAGAAACATCTGGAAGGACAGGAGGAAAGGTTTCTTATCAGCCCCTCATGGCCACATGATAAACTCTGACATCCTAGGATCAAGGCTCTGAGCCATGAAGGAGGTTGGAGGCCAAATTAAATAGAAAAAAGAAATCACAGCCACCTACAACCCTGTGATCTTTGTAAGGGTTTGGTTATACTGCTTGAACCTGAAGTAGAGGATGGACTGAAATCTCCATTATTCCATGTGATGATAAACCAATTTCAAGTGATAAATTAGTCCATTTTTGTAATGAACTTCATTCCACTGTATGGGCATAGTGTTAGTTTATTTACTCTTTTGTTAAACATTTATTGGATGCTAACCGTCTAGCACTGTGCTAGGCATTGGGAATGTAAAAATAAATGAGAAGGGTTCCTGCTTTCAAGATGTTCATACCACGGTAGAAAGGAGAGAGAGAAACAGTTGAAAATTATAATAGATAATATAGAGGTTTGTAAAAGGAGGGAATAATCAGTTCTGCCTGGATGAATAGTAGAGTCATGAGGAAGAGACATTTGAGCTAGGTCTTGCTGGGTGTTTTTAAATCAAATGTTTTTCTTCCATAATGAATATGAAACAATTAGAGAAAATTTGGAAAATGGAATTGGATTTTCAAGGATGAGGTCATCAGGGAAAAATCAAAGCTTTTAGAGAAATCAACATTCATTCATTCATTCAGCAAATATTCATTGCTTCTACTCCGTGCTAGATTCCAGGAATACAACAAACGTTCTTTGCCAAAAGGAGCTTGTAGGCTGGTGGAGTGACAAAGTGATCAATTGCCATACAATGTGAAAAGTGCATGAAAAAGTAAGCACAGGACAATCTGGAAGCACATGGTAGCCTCTAACCGGGACAGGATGAAGACTCTGAGATTTACACTGTTAGGCCAGGGTCATATTAGGCAATGCCTTATAGTATTTGTATTTAATGATATTTCGAAAGGTGGAGTGAAACGGAAAGTACAAGCAAACTATGATAAGCTCTCAGGGATGTGTCTAACTTTGTGAGTGAACAAAAATCTCATGTAGACATATCCTGGGAGCTTCTCATAGTTTGCTTGCACTTTTCCATTCCAAATGGAGGTTTGACAAATTTGGTTTCAAAGGGTTATCCCAGTTAAGATCTAGGTGATGGAAAAAAGGCAAGAGACCCTCTGCTATAGTAGATACAGCTGGGTTTAAAGGAACGTTCATTCCATTCCTCCTGACCTCCTCTTACGAGTCCAGCTCTGTACTAGCTCTGTGAGTAAATGAAAAATGCCTTCAAAGGTGGGATGCGAGAGCTAGGCAACAAAGTGGCAAGGAACCCATACCAGCCAGGTAAGTGTGAGGAAGGAAACATTAACAGTCACCATATGCTTTCAAACTTTATTTTAACCTCATAACAAACCTATCAATTCAGACGAACAAACAGGTTCATAGAACAGAGGTCACGGATACAGTGGGCGAGCTAAAGCATCCCCTCCGCTGTGGGGCGCCAGCGCCTGGGCCCGCTCAGAGTTCAGGGCTCAGTGCCTAGGAACCGGCCGTTGGCGCCTCCATTCCCGGTTTTCGTGGGTGACTGCAATGGCTAGCACCACGCCTAGCACACAGCGCTCCATCGCTGGTAGTTGGCGGAAAGGAAATAACTTTCTGGCGGGGTCCTCACCCTTTGCCAGGCCTGCGCACTGCGTCCTCCAGAGTCGAGGGCGCTCTAGAGAGAAGCAGGTTGTGACCCAGTCCTCCCACCGCTTGGCCTCATGAACGTCCCTCGAAGCCCCTGCTGTCCTCAGCCCAGCCCTGGGCCTCGTCCTGGCCCCGACCACTCCCCGCGGCCGGAAGTGGGGGCGCCGCGCGCTGCAAATGCCTGCGCGGCGGCGGCTCAACTGTGGGCGGTTGGTCAGGCCGCCGGGTCTCGCCAGTCGGCAGGAGTCCCCAAGGCCCTGCGTCGGGCGCCTCTCCCAGGGGGCGCCTCGCCAGGTGTCCTTCCCATTCTCTGGGTCCTTTGAGCTAAGTTTGGTGGGAGCCTCCTTCCAGCAGCGCGGAGGCTTTCGCGCGGCCTTGACCGCTCGGGGAGAGGGGGCCGCGCTGCGCCATGGAGATGCGCTCGACGCCGGGGCTGCCGACGCCGGGGTCCTCGCTGGCCCTGCGGGTGTCCTTCGTGGACGTGCTTCCTGAGGTGATCCCCGTGCAGCTGTGGGGACCGGTGGGCGAGCGGCGGGAGGAGTACGTGCGGCTGAGCCAGGAGATCCAGGAAACGGCGGCCACGTGCGGCCCGTGGGCGCTGGGCGGCGCCTCGGCCTCGCCGGGCGAGCTGTGCCTGGTGCAGGTGGGGCTCCTGTGGCACCGCTGCCGCGTGGTCAGCCGGCAGGCGCAGGACAGCCGCGTCTTCCTGCTGGACGAGGGCCGCACCATCACGGCGGGCGCAGGCTCACTGGCGCCCGGGCGTCGCGAGTTCTTCCACCTGCCCTCTGAGGTGCTGGGCTGCGTGCTGGCCGGCCTGGTGCCGGCGGGCGGGGGCGAGCCACAGCACTGGTCGCCCAGCGCCGTGGACTTCCTCAGCAACCTTCAGGGCAAGGAGGTGCGCGGGCGGGTCCTGGACGTGCTGCTTCTCCATCGCCTGGTCCTTCTGGAGGTGCCCAGTCTGGTCCAGCAGATGCAGGAGCTGGGCCTAGCTCGGCAGGTGCCCGACAGCCTCTTCCACTTGCTGCTTAAGCGCCAGCTCACTGTGGCCACTTCTGGGGTGGGCCCTGGGGTCCCGGTTCTCCCGAGAGTCCTGCCCAAGCAAGAGCAGCCTGGCCTGGACTACTTCTATCCCCAGCTGCAGCTGGGCGTGACGGAACCCGTAGTGGTAACCCAAGTGTGCCATCCTCACCGCATTCACTGCCAGCTCCGGAGCCTCTCTCAGGAGATCCACCGCCTCTCGGAGGGCATGGGCCAAGTATACCGGGATTCCACAGGGACAAGGGATGAGAACTCTACCGGTGCCACCTGGGAGGAGAGGGAGGAGAGCCCAGACAAGCCGGGCTCTCCGTGTGCATCCTGTGGATTGGATGGACGTTGGTACCGAGCACTCTTGCTTGAGACTTTTCGGCCCCAGCGCTGTGCCCAGGTGCTTCACGTAGACTATGGAAGGAAGGAGTTGGTGAGTTGTAGTAGCCTTCGGTACTTGCTGCCTGAATATTTTCGAATGCCTGTGGTGACCTACCCTTGTGCTTTGTATGGACTCTGGGACGGTGGGAGAGGCTGGTCTCGGTCACAAGTAGGTGACCTGAAAGCTCTGATACTGGGCCAGGCAGTGAATGCAAAGATTGAATTTTATTGCTCCTTTGAGCATGTGTATTATGTCACCCTGTATGGAGAAGATGGGGTTAATCTTAACTGTGTGTTTGGAGTACAGTCTTGTTGCTTGGCTGACCGATTCCTTCAGGGCCAAGGAATAGAGGAGGAAGAGGAGGAAGAAGCAGAAACAGCTTCTCAGTCTCAGTCTCCTGCTGAAGAAGTGGATGAAGAGATTTCACTCCCAGCCTTAAGATCTATCAGGTTAAAGATGAATGCCTTCTATGATGCCCAGGTAGAGTTTGTTAAAAATCCTTCCGAGTTTTGGATTAGGTTGAGGAAACACAACAGTACCTTCAGCAAGCTGATGAGGAGAATGTGCAGTTTCTATTCCTCAGCCAGTAAGCTGGATGGGGTCGTTTTGAAACCTGAACCCGATGACCTTTGCTGTGTCAAATGGAAAGAAAATGGCTATTACCGGGCCATGGTCACCAGATTAGATGACAAGAGTGTCGATGTATTCTTAGTTGACCGTGGCAATTCAGAAAATGTGGACTGGTATGACGTAAGGATGTTGCTTCCTCAGTTTAGGCGGCTACCAATATTGGCTCTGAGGTGCACTCTCGCAGATATCTGGCCTTTGGGAAAAACCTGGAGCCAGGAGGCAATTTCCTTTTTTAAAAAGACTGTACTCCACAAAGAATTAGTCATCCATATTCTCGATAAGCAGGATCATCAATACATTATTGAGATTCTTGATCAATCAAGAACAGGGGAAGAAAACATTAGTAAGGTAATTGCTCAAGCTGGTTATGCCAAGTATCAGGAATTTGAAGCAAAGGAAAATATCCCAATAAATGTCCACTCCCCAGGGCATGGTTCAAACCATTTTACTGGTGAGAATAACAAAATACCTTCTGCCAAGAGGGTAGAAGGAGAACAGAGAGCCAAGAGAGATAATAAAGCCACATCTGTTTCAGAAGCTTTGACTGACACAACAATTGTTACAGATGTTTCAAGTGAACCAGTTGGGGCGAATAAAGAGAAAAAAACATCTGTTTATTCTCCTCTTATACAGAATTTCTTGGAAATTAAGCCAGACTCTTCTTGTAAAGGAGAGATAAAAGTTGGAAGTACAGTAGAAGTTAAAGTGTCTTATGTTGAAAACCCTGGCTATTTCTGGTGCCAGCTGACCAGGAACATGCAAGGATTTAAAACTCTAATGTGTAATATTCAGGACTATTGTAAAAATACAGCTGCTCCTTATGAGGGAGCCACGCCTGCTTGTTTGGCAAAACGAACGGTAGATGGAAAATGGTCCAGAGCTCTGATCAGTGGGACACAATCTTCAGAGCATGTCAAAGTAATATTTGTAGATTATGGAGACCAAGAAGTGGTATCTGTGAAGAATATTTATTCAATTAGCGAAGAGTTTCTCAAGGTTAAGGCTCAGGCTTTTAGATGCAGTCTTTATAATTTAATTCAACCAACTGGTTCCAATCCCTTTGTTTGGGATGAAAAGGCAATACAAGCTTTTAGTGACTTTGTAAGTAATGCATGGCAAAACAATCTAGAATTAAAATGCACGATATTTGCTTTGGCCTCAATCCATGATGAAGAACCGTTTAATGTTGTGGATTTGCTAACACCCTTTCAGAGCGCTTGCCATTTTTTGGTAGAAAAGAGATTTGCAAGACGAGTGAAACTTCGGAAGCCTCTGGAGTCCTCTGTTCAGCTACATTCCTTCTACTATTCTACACATGATATGAAAATTGGAAGTGAAGAATCAGTGTATATAACACATGTTGATGACCTTTGGACGTTTTATTGCCAGCTGGCAAGAAATGTAGATATTTTGGACCAGTTGTCGTGTAGTATTACACAATTAAGTAAAGTTTTGCTGAATTTAAAAACATCGCCCTTGGTCCCTGGAGCCTTGTGCCTTGCCAGGTATACTGATGGAAACTGGTATAGGGGGATGGTAATAGAGAAAGAACCAAATAAAGTCTTCTTTGTTGATTTTGGGAACATTTATGTAGTAACAAGCGATGATCTGCTTCCAATACCTAGTGATGCATATAGTGTCTTACTTTTGCCGATGCAAGCTGTTAAATGCTCATTATCTGATATTCCTGATCATATACCAGAAGAAGTTACAACATGGTTTCAGGAAACTATTTTAGATAAGTCATTGAAGGCCTTAGTTGTAGCAAAAGATCCAGATGGAAGACTGATTATAGAACTGTATAGTGATAATATTCAAATTAATGCTAGTATTAATGAGAAGTTAGGGCTACTTGGTTGCAAGGGTAGAACAAGGAAAAACGAAAGTAAAGCACTCCTCTCTACAACTGAAACTGTTGAAGAAAAAAATGAGAATATGAAGTTGTCATCTACAGAGTATTTAAGTAAATCAGTAGAGAACAAGTTATGCGGTGTAGAGATTTTGCGAGAACCGTACAAACCTAAGATCAACGCAGCATTTAAGGAGCTCAAACGCTTACAAAGTTCAACAAAGACGAACTCAGTCACTCGATATCAGGACTCTGTAGGAAATAAAAATAGTGAAGTGTTTTCATTAACAACAGAAAAGAAAGAAGAAATTTTTGCTGAGCAACCTTTGAAAGCCACAAGAGAAGAAGCCACTGTTTCAGGGAAAAAAATAGGAGATTTGTGTAACAAAGATTTGCCTCTAAAATTTTGGGAGTTCCCACAGAAAAATATAATGCCTGGCTTTAAAACAACTGTATATATTTCTCATATAAATGACCTTTCAGACTTTTATGTTCAACTAGCAGAAGATGAAGCTGAAATTAATCATCTTTCAGAGAGATTAAATGATGTTAAAACAAGGCCTGAATATCATGTAGGTCCACCTTTGCAAAGAGGAGATGTGATATGTGCCATTTTCCCAGAAGACAATTTATGGTATCGTGCTGTGGTCAAGGGACAACAACCCAAAGACCTACTCTCTGTACAGTTTATAGATTATGGCAATGTTTCTGTGGTTCACACTAGCAAAATAGGTAGGCTTGACCTAGTTAATGCAGTATTACCAGGATTGTGCCTTCATTGCTCCTTAGCAGGACTTTGGGTTCCTGACATCATAAACTGTAAGGAAATGATGCATTCCTTTTCCCGAAGGACTGATGAGGCTCAAATAACATGTGAATTTGTTAAATTTCAGGACAAATGGGAAGTTATTCTTGCAGATAAACATGGGGTCATAGCAGATGATATGAATAGCAGATATGCTTTCAGGGAAAAATCGCAAATAGAACTTTCTACCCAAATAATTAAAAGTACCTGTTCAAGGTCTGTTAACAAATCAGACAATGACATTTCAGTATTTCTTAACTGGTATAATCCCAAAATTAAGGTGGTAAGAGCTTATGCTACTGTAATAGATGGACCTGAGTATTTTTGGTGTCAGTTTGCTGATACTGAGAAACTTCAGTATTTGGAAGTAGAAGTACAAACTGCTGGAGAACAGGTCGTAGATCAGAGAAATTGTATCTCATTTCCTCATATTGGAGATCCTTGTATAGTAAGATACAGAGAAGATGGACACTATTACAGGGCTCTTATCACTAATATTTGTGAAGATCGTCTTATATCTGTCAGGCTTGTGGACTTTGGAAACATTGAAGACTGTGTAGACCCAAAAGCACTCTGGAACATTCCTTCTGAACTTTTGTTGGTTCCCATGCAAGCCTTTCCATGTTGCCTCTTAGGATTTAATGTTTCAGAAGGTGTATGCCCTCAAGAGGGAAATGACTATTTTTATGAAATAGTAACAGAAGATGTGTTGGAAATAACAATATTAGAAATCAAAATGGATGTTTGTGATATCCCTTTAGCAATAGTTGACTTGAAAAGCAAAGGTGAGAATATTAATGAGAAAATGAAGAAATATGCTAAGATTGATATTACTAAGAACAATCTTCTCTGTGAAGCAAATGGCTCTGAGATAAAGGAAGCTCACGCATCCCGCAGTCCTGATGTGGGACTTAAGAAACCAAGTAATAAAACTGTGCAAGATGAAACATTATATGTGGAACCCCAGACAGATGAGCTCTCTGAAAGCATTGAGAAAGAATTAAACATTATTGAAACCAAACCAAGTAAATTCTATGCCCTCAAAACTGAAAACATTTCTGAAGCTTTTGAAAACCCACACAAAGATAAAATTGGTACTGAGGTACTGGATGGCAAAGCAGAGTGCCATTTGGTTGACAAAGCAAAGTTTGAAGATAAATACCAAATTGCAGGATTTGATACATTATTACCACATGTTAGTGAAACAAAGAAGATACTAGAACTAAATTCGCTTGAGGTGCCACTTTCTCCTGACGATGAATCGAAAGAATTCTTAGAACTGGAATCCATTGAGTTGCAACATTCTCTGGTCCGGGATGAAGAAGAAGAAGAGCTGGGCCTGGAGCCACCAAATGTACTGCTGCCCCAAGGCGGCGACGCGGAAGCAACCCTGGAACTTTTCACAGCGCAGCTGCCGTTCAACTGTGAAGCCACGAAACAGCCAGAATTAGAACTACCTACGGCCCAGCTGTCTCTAGATGACAAACTGAATGCTTTGTCTTTGAGAGTTAGTCAGAAAATCCAAGAATCCATGCGTGCTGAGGACATGAGAAAGCCGAGTTGTGTGGAACCCTTTGATTGCCAGCACAGGGTGCCGCTGCATCCACCTGGGAGGAATTGTGATTCTAAAATGCAGATTGAAATGAATGTATATGAAGAAGAATTTATGGAATATAAAAACAGGGACACCATTTCAGCATTGATGCCTTTATTCTCTGAGGAAGAATCCAGAGATGGAAGAAAGCACAGTATTGCTTTACCAGATCATGTCTCAGGTATGTGCATTTTTCCCTTTAAGTCTAACGCAGTGTCTTTCAAAAGTTCTTATTTGTTTTTTTGTTTTTTTTTTAAAGAGAATAATTCTTAACTGGATTTTTAAAATTAATTTTTTGGAAGAAAAATTAA